AAAGATGTACAGGTGCTGTCATGTGCAGCATGGCAAGCCACTGTGGAACCCATCCAGCTCCCACTGAAGTAAGTGGCAAGATTTCCCCACTTGCTTTCAATGGGAGCAAGGGAGCAAGCAGTGCTGAGACTTGGCTATGGGAGGAAAACATAAGCAGGAAGTAAGAAGTTGAAACTGGGCCTATGAATTGTGGGGACTGGGCCGTTTGGACTCAGGGCTGGGGGTCTGGGTGTAGCAGACTATCAGCGTTTGGAGGAGAGAGAATTCAGTGTTGGTGCCTGGTGGAAGCACTGGGTATATGGACTGTTAGGGAGAAGTTCAGGCCAAGCACTGGGGGTTGGGACTTGGATGGGTATCACCTGTTCGGCTGGAGAGAAGACCCTGATGCTGTGGGTTAGGGGAGTGGAGACTGGAGCCCTGACATACATTTCATAACATTAACCTGTTTTTCAAATGGCTTCCCCAGAAGCACCAAACAGTTTGCAGGTGCATTCTCTTTGTGAGCTCAAAACTCCCATGTGCACCAAAGAAGGACTGCACATGTGAACTTTGCTCTTGCAGTTAAGGTGGCCATTTAGAAACTGGAGCCACACCCAGTAATAAGAACAAACACATATCACATTGATAGGAAGTCCTTGAAGAGGTGGAAAGGAACGTTGCTTGCCCAAGCAATGCCTTGGCACCGTGATGCTGCTCACTGTGCTTCCATACTTTAACTGGGAAGCAAACAAGCTTTGACAGCTCAAGCAAGGCAACTGGTAGCAACATAACATGTTTCCTAAACAGACAAAGACAGATTTGATCTGCAAGCGGATGACATTGCTAATAATTCCTTGCAAGCACGGCAAAGATGATGGGTTACAAATGTGTTTAAAACCTTGAAGGCATCCCCAGTTTCAATGCAGTGACATGCATTTACATCAGCAGATGCTTCTCCATTGTAGCTTTGTGGTAACAATGTCAGTTAACACTTTCACTGTTGCATAGGGATGTACCAGGTATGTAGGGCAGCAACCTGGGTAATGTGGTAGATGTCACCAAAGAAGTTATACTTAGAGAATCAGGATACTTGGGAAATTATTTCAGGTGAGGGAAGAAAGGAAACCCACTGAAATTTAAGTATTCATAAATCTATAGTGCTGAATAGTCAAACCAATGTAATGGGCTTAGAATGTTCCCTCCCCTTTCTCTTCCCCACAGCTGTGGAGTGGCAACAAAGCCACTCTGGGGCCAATCCTTCACCTACAGCATCTGCTCCCTCCCCACATGGGGCAGCCAGGTTTGCATGGCCACACTAGCCCTCCCTCACGCAGCCACCCTAAACCCCCAACCTCCTATGAGCGGAGACAGGAGCACAGCTTCATCGTGCACAGGGGTTATGGATCCCCTGCACAGGGCCTTGGTGGAATGTATACTGTGCAAATGCACTAGTTCCATTGCCAGCTGGGCAACCTTTGCCCATTGTGGAATTGGGTGGCAGGGTTTGCCCCACAGCATCTATACAGTTTAGTTTGCACAGCTCATAATCCTTGTGCAATAGAGCTTAGCAAAATGTTGGCATTTAAGCAGCCCAAATCATGTTAAATGCACCTGCTTTTGGGTTTCAGCACACACTTTGAACTTGGGCTATGTTCACTAAAAGGTTTGCAAACCTCCCCAGCTCATGTGGCCCACCGCTTGGCCAAAGCCTAGCAGATTTCTGTTTTTGCACTGAAACCACACCAGCTTTTCTGTGTTACATGCTTTCACCATGAAATCCTATATAACTGCTGCTTCTGGCAGAACTTCACTCTGGGAATTTGCAAGTGAAGACTCAAAATGAGATTTTTTTTGTGGGGCGGGGGTATGAACTCAAAGCTCAAAACGAAGGGAAACTGCATGAAGACCTCTGAAGCAAAGCCTTTATTTCCCCACAGCCACAAGGTCTGGCTTTCACGCCTCATCTTTCCAGCTGTTTACAAATGTGTAAACATAATGATGCAAGCCCAATAATAAAATCAGCCTACTGATGAATAAATTGAGTGCCAAACAAAAGTACTTGAAAATCTTATCATATACACTTGCAAAGGTATATATGCATATGCGAATTGTATCCCTCTGGCCCCCTCCCAAGTCTTTTTAGATTGTAAATTCCTTTGTCTTCATAAATGCTAGTAAATAAACACAACTATGACATAGCTGGCACCACAGATACCTGGTAGGATGATACACGTGACTAGAATATTGGTATAGAAGGGTACAGCTTGCTCAGGAAGGACCAGCAGGGAAAAAAGGGAGGAGGAGATGTTGCCTTATATTTAAAAAAATACACATTAACTGAGATTGAGCTAGAAATAGGAGAGACTTGTTGAAAGTCCCTGGATAAGGATAAAAGGGGTATAAAACAAGGGTGATGTCATGGTAGGGGTCTACTACAGACCACCTAACCAGGAAGAGGTGGATGAGGCTTTTTTTAAACAGCTAACAAAATCATCCAAAGCACAGGACTTGGTGATGATGGGGGACTTCACCTACCTAGACATCTGTTGGGAAAACACAGCAGGGCACAGATTATCCAATAAGTTCCTGGAATGTATTGGAGACTTTTTTATTTCAGAAGGTGGAGACAGCTACCCAGGGGAGAGGCTGTTCTAGATTTGATTTTGACAAATAGGGAGGAACTGGTTGAGAATTTGAAAGTGGAAGGCAGCTTGGGTGAAAGTGATCATGAAATGGTAGAGTTCATGATTCTAAGGAATGGTAGGAGGGAGAACAGCAACAAAGACAATGGATCTCAAAAAGGCAGACTTTAGCATGCTCAGGGAGTTCGTAGGTAAGATCCCATGGGAAGCAAGTGTAAGGGGAAAAACAATAGAAGACAGTTGGCAGTTTTTCAAAGAGACATTATTAAGGGCACAAGAAGAAACAAACCCATTGCATAGGAAACCTAGGGAGTATGGCAAGAGACCATCCGGCTTAACCAGGAGATCTTTAATGATCTAAAAAAAAAAAAAAGTCCTACAAAAAGTGGAAACTAGGGGAAATTACAAAGGATGGGGAAAAAAAACAAACACCACAAGTACAAAGGGGAAAAATTAGAAAGGCCAAGGCACAAAAAGAGTAACAAGAAAACATTCAACAAATGCATTAGAAGCAAGAGGAAGACCAAGGAGAGGGTAGGCTCATTACTCAATGAACGGGAAAAACAGAAAATGTGGAAATGGCAGAGGGGCTTAATAGCTTCTGAGTTTTGGTTTTCACCAAAAAGGTTGGTGGTGATTGGACATCTAACATAGTGAACGGCACTGAAAATGAGATAGGATCAGAAGAAGCTAAAATAGGGAAAGAAAAAGTTAAAAATTACTTGGACAAATTGGATGTCTTCAAGTCATCAGGGCCTGATGAAATGCATCCAAGAATACTCAAGGAGCTGACTGAGGAGATATCTGAACCATCAGCAATTATCTTTGAGAAGTCATGGGAGACGGGAGAGATTCCAGAAGACTGGAAAAGGGCAAATATAGTGCCCATCTATAAAAAGGGAAATAAGGACAACCCAGGGAATTACAGACCAGTCAGCTAAACTTCTATACCCGGAAAGATAACGGAGCAATAATTAAGTAATCAGTTTGCAAACATCTAGAAGATAAGGTGATCAGTAGCAGTCAGCATGGATTTGTCAAGAACAAGTCATGTCAAACCAACCTGATAGCTTTCTTTGACAGGGTACCAAGCCTTGTGGATAATGGGGAAGCAGTAGACGTGGTATATCTTGACTTTAGAAAAGCTTTTGATACTGTCTCGCATGACCTTCTCATAAACAAACTAGGGAAATGCAACTGAGATGGAGCTACTATAAGGTGGATGAAAAACTGGTTGGAAAGCTGTTCCCAGAGAGTAGTTATCAGTGGTTCACAGTCATGCTGGAAGGGCATAATGAGTGAGGTCCCAAAGGGATCAATTCTGGGTCCGGTTCTGTTCAATATCTTCATCAATGATTTAAATAATGGCATACAGAGTACACTTACAAAGTTTGCAGCTGATACCAAGCTGGGAGGGGTTGCAAGTGCTTTGGAGGATAGAATTAAAATTCAAAATGATCTGGACAAACCGGAGAAATGGTCTGAAGTAAATAGGATGAAATTCAATAAGGACAAATGCAAAGTACTTCATTTAGGATGGAACAATCAGTTGCACACATCGAAAATGGGAAATGACTGCCTATGAAGGAGTACTGCAGAAAGGGATCTGGGGGTTATAGTGGACCATAAGCTAAATATGAGTCAACCGTGTAACACTGTTGCAAAAAAGGTGAACATAATTCTGGGATGTATTAGCAGGAGTGTTGTAAGCAAGACACGAGAAGTAATTCTTCTGCTCTACTCCACACTGATTAGGCCTCAACTGGAGTATTGTGTCCAGTTCCGGGTGTCACATTTCAGGAAGGATGTGGACAAATTGGAGAGAGTCCAGAGAAAAGCAACAAAAATGATTAAAGGTCTAGAAAATGACCTATGAGGGAAGATTGAAAAAATTGGGTTTGTTTCGTCTGGAGAAGAGAAGACTGAGAGGGGACATAACAGTTTTCAAGTATGTAGAAGGTTGTTACAAGGAGGAGGAAGAAAAATTGTTTTTCTTAACCTCTGAGGATAAGACAAAAACAATGGGCTTAAATTGCAGCAAGGGAGGTTTAGGTTTGACATTAGAAAAAGCTTCCTAACTGTCAGAGTGGTTAAGCACTGGACTAAATTGCCTCGGGAGGTGATAGAATCTCCATCACTGGAGATTAAGAGCAGGTTAGATAAACACCTGTCAGGAATGGTCTTGATAATTAGTCCAGCCAAGAGTGCAGGGGACTGGACTAGATGATCTCTTGAGGCCCTTTCCAGTTTTATGATTCTATGTTTGTACAGGGCCAAGTAACAGGAGGCTTCAGTCACAATGGGGGCCCCAGGAGTTATTGGGATGGGAAGAGATTAGTACATTTTAAAGACAGGGGGCACGTAAAGGGTTGTGCTTACCACCATGGTGCCTCCTGCTGGTTGCTCTGGGAATTAGTTCTGTCCATCAGCAGGGCAGCATCCTCTTGTGGTGTCTCACTCTCCGTCACTGCTTCTCCACTGTCTGTGGGGATCTGCAGCGCTCCTGGAGCACAGCATCCTCTTCAGGGCCAGGCCCTCCAGCTGTACCCCAACTCTGTTGTCTCTCCCCTTCTGAGGGAACCAGCAGTCCTTCGTCTGGCTTCTCACCACAGTGGCAAACTGCAGCCCCAGTCCAGCCCCTCATTCAAGAGGAACTGCATTCCTTTGTCTGGCCACTTCCCTGGCAGGCAGTGAGGCAAAAGGGGGAGGGGGACAGACCCAGCCATTACTCTGGGCCCCAACCTAGAGACCCTATAGCTGGCAGCCGCTCACTGCCTCTCATTCCCCTCTGCAACTACCTACTTTCCCTGGGCCACGTCCCCATAGCCCCGGCACCTACTCGGCCCCTGTATCAAGGCTACAGTCTGGGAGCCAGCCAGGCTGGAGCTCCACTTGCTCCCCTGTCCAGCACCTCTTATCTTCTCTTAAAGGAGAGATTGAGCCCCTTTCTGCCCTGCAGCCCTTCTTATAGGGCCCAGCCTGGCCCTAATTGGCTGCTTCTAAGCCTTCCTGTGGTTGGCTGGGCTCTGCGTAACCACTCCAAGGGCTGCTACTAACCCTTCGCCAGCCAGTGAGGGGCAACCACTCTGATCACCTAGTCTGACGTCCTGAATAACTGAGATCACAGACTTCGGCCAGTGTTTCCTGCCTCAAGTCCAGCAGCTTGTGGTTGAATTAGAGCATTTATTTCACAAATACATCCAGTCTTAAGGCTGGTCTTCACTATGGGGAGATCGGCGCTGCTGCAATCGATGCAGCAGGGGTAGATTTAGCAGGTCTAATGAAGCCCCACTAAATCAACATCAGAGCACTCTCTGGTTGACTTTGGTATTCCAGCTTTCTGAGAAGAGTGAGGGAAGTCAACTGGAGAGTGTCTCCCATCGAGACAGCGCAGTGAAGACACCGGGATAAGTCAACCTAAGCTATGTGAATAGCTAGTGTAACTTAGGTTGACTTACCCTGGTAGTGAGCTCAAGCCTTTAATTTAAACACCCCAGATGATGGAGTCACCACATCCCTATGTGTTCTGTTCCAATGCTTAATTACTTTTGTAATAGGAAGAGAGTCTGAGACATAAGCCCTTGTTTTAGAGGCCTGGTTAAAAAATGGGAATTGTATTTCCTGTTTGAACCTTGCTGACTTTAATTTCAAGCCACTGAATCTCGTTATGCCTTTGTCTGCTTGATTAAAGAGCTCTCTAACCTCAAATATGCTCTCCCCCTGTGTAGGTTCTTGTAGACCATGATCAAGTCACTTCTAACCTTTTCCTCAATCAGCTCAATAGATTGAGTATCTCAGTAATAATGTATCAAATACAAAGAAATAGCAGATGTGTAAGTGTATCCCAGGGTGAATAAATGATGTGAGTTAGGGTAATTCAGAAAACATGGGGTGTTGAACCCAAGAGTTCAGGGAGAAAAGGAATGAAAAGTGAGCATACTCTTTCATTTAAAATTTATTCCCCCCCCCATTCTCTCTCTGTCTTAAATGATAAAACTCCCTGCTATTCAACTCATTTTAATTCACACGTTTTATGTGGTGTACTGCTTCTGCTGTGGTGACACCCTTGTATTGCTGATATAAACAGTGAAATTATATGAGGAACTTTGCCTCATTAAAATCATGTATAAGAGTTAAAGTAACGAAAGCCAGTGTGAGTATAAAGCATATTGTGTTGCTTTTCCATGTTTATTTAGCACAATACTGTACTGGGATTACAATGTAGTCAACACTCATTTGTTACTCTTTGTAATTCAGTAAAAAGAAGTGAGAAACAAACTGATTCTAATGAAATCATCGAATGCAGTTAATTTTCATTGGTTCTAGGTTGTTTTTAATTCATCCTATTGGTGAATCTCTTTTCTGTAAATTCATATTTTTTTCTCCTGGGCTGCCTGAATTCTTCAAAAATTTATGCTGGTACCAGGTGTGTCTAAATTTATGATTCCTTCACTTTTTATGCCTCCGTACGTTTATAGTCACAGTTTGTCTACTCTGACTTTTAGGCAAAGCAATATTGAGAGAGCACCTTCCATGGTACATGCTCAGACATTTGCACAAATTGGACCAGTCTCCTTCTTTGGTTCCTAGGATGAGAGAAGGTTGCAGCATAACTGAGTTACCCAATAATAATTTCTTAACTGTTTATCTTGCATACTTTTTTCTGTTTTTCTGTCTCCACTTACAAACAGGCAAATATTTCCTACTCCACACTGTTTATCTCCCAATTGTTCCTTTTATTACTTTGTTCTCTTGCTCTTTTCTATTACCATACTTTGCCCCATACCACAGAACCAAGAATGGGTCTTCACCATAAGGGCCCCTCACTAATTACCACACATATTTTTACCATTAGTTTTGCCATTCCTTATCCCCTTCTGTCCAAGTATCTCAGGGCATTCTACAAACATTTATGAATGAAGGCTCACATCATCTCTGTGAAAAATATAACAGAATTGAGAGGTGGTAATTTTCATATTGATAAAAGGAAATGCTTTTGCACACAACCTACAATTTTCCTGTGGAACTCTTTGCCACAAGACAGCACTGAGGCTGAGCGGTTAGCTGCATTCAGAAAAGGATTAAACATGTATATGGATAACAAATATGTCCAAGTTATAATAATAAATACTAAGAAGATGAAGAGTTTTAGAAGAGAGAGAAACCCTCATGCTTCAGGGCTTAGTCTAACCTCTAAGTGTTTGGGGTTAGGAGGAAATTTTCTTTTAAGGCAGGCTATGGCACAACTGCCTACTGCAGTGTTTCTTGCACCTTCTTCTGAAATATTTGATGTTGGCCACTATCAGTAACAGGGTATCAGACTCACTGGTCTGATCCGGGATAGTAATTCTTATATTCCTATTATTAGCCCCATTTTACAGATGGGAAAACTGAGCCACAGTCTGGTAAAGTGATTTGTTTGAAGTAATCCAGTTGGCCAGTGTCAGAATGGTATTAGAACCCTGATTTTCTGTCTCCCATCCTTCTGGTATAACCACTAGACCATGTAGCCTCTTTTTTAGTCTCTACGTAAAAGAATAAATGGACACAAATCAGATGTCAAGAATTATAACATTCAAAAACCAGTCAGAGAACACTTCAATCTCTTTGGTCACTCGATTACAGACCTAAAAGTTGCAATTTTTCAACAAAAAAACTTCAAAAACAGACTCCAATGAGAGACTGCTGAACTGGAATTAATTTGCAAACTGGATACAATTAACTTAGGCTTGAATAAAGACTGGGAGTGGATGGGTCACTACACAAAGTAAAACTATTTCCCCATGTTTATTCCCCTCCCTCCCCCTCACTGTTCTTCAGATGTTCTTGTCTACTGCTGGAAATGGCCCACCTTGATTATCACTACAAAAGGTTTTCTCCCCCCCCCCGCTGCTCTCTTGCTGGTAATAGCTCACCTTACTTGATCACTCTCGTTACAGTGTGTATGGTAACACCCATTGTTTCATGTTCTCTGTGTATATAAATCTCCCCACTGTATTTTCTACTGAATGCATCCGATGAAGTGAGCTGTAGCTCACAAAAGCTTATGCTCAAATAAATTTGCTAGTCTCTAAGGTGCCACAAGTCCTCCTTTTCTTTTTGCAGATACAGACTAACACAGCTGCTACTCTGAAACCTGTCTTTTAGGATATGTATCTTTTAGGATATCTGCAGTCAGGAGATGTGATTGTAGCACATGTAGCCATACCAAGCTAGCTTATTAAAAAGAGCAGTGAAGCTGTGGTAGGCACAGATTAGCCACCTGCTCAGGCCCCTGGGTACATACTCAGGTGGCTAGCCCATGCTGTTGCAGCTTCACTGTTGTGTTAGGTAGCTCGATCAAAGCTAGGTCAGATATGTCTATTATGCTGCCATCACATCTCCGGATTGCAGTGTAGCGATATAAAGAAAGATCCTATTTAAGCAGTGAGACAACAAATGTAGGCTCACGTGCTACATTCTCCCACGAAAAAATCAAAGCCTGTAAAATATGGACCCAAAAGCTTTGAGATAGAGGAGGAGTGGCTAGTAAAAACACTAGCTCTGTGATAGGAGTATGTTACAGATAACTCTATGTATATCATGCATAGGGGTCTTGGCTGGCCACAGGGATTGAACTGAGGCCCTCCCGGGAGAAATGTGTGAATCTTTACAGCTGGAGATAAAGAACTGGCCTCTTTTGCTGGGGACTGTAATATTCACAATTTCTGTGGAATGGGTACAAAGGGATTTAGAGAACATAAAATGGGCAGTGGATTCCAGGAGTGTCTGGGGTTGAATAGATTGTGCTGTGGATATAGGTTTCCCTCTTTTGCAGATTTTGCTCCTCTTCACACCATGTGTTAGAAGAGAATATATATGGCCTACAATTAATATTGGGCGTATGACAAGACAGAGCAGGTGGATAAACAGACAAATGAGAGTGCAATGGGGGAGGTGGGAGCGTTGCTAAAGATGGGAATCTTTCCATAAATGAGGAGTCTCAATAGTTCTAGCAGTCACCAGCCTGAAAGAGAGTGGGACTTCTCCCCCTCACCTCCACAGAGTTCCAAGCTGTGCCAAAGAATAATCATAGCCTTTGAATTTCATACTGTGCATAGATTTTGTAATAACTTCTGACATTACTTTCTAAAATGATAATTTAGTGAAGCTCTGTCCCACACATGTTATTATTTAATGAAAGTGAACATTGCTTTCATTCCATGTTAGTTATTATGTGGTATTAGTCATCGCAGAGAGCCCATCCTGCAATAGCAGACTGTGCTAGCAATTGCAAACATTTGGCTTTAACCTCATTGCATGTTAAAAAAAGCTTGTTTCCATCTTGCTCAGCGACACACCTTGAAAGTGGGCTTATAAGAATCTCACTTCTCAGCAAACTGTGAGTGGTAGAAAATACAGCTGGCATATCTGAGCCGACTGTGGCAGCTCAGCATTAAAAGTGACATGAGTTGAGACTCTCCAGATGAATGCAGTGTAGTTGTAGCCATGTCGGTCCCAGGATATTAGAGACAGATCTTGTCTTTTATTGGACCTACTTGTGTCTCTCTCACCAACAGAAGTTGATCCAATAAAAGATATTATCTCACCCACCTTGTCTCTCTATGGATGAATGTCTGGTCTGGATACTATAAAACAATGGTTCTCAAACTAGGGCCGCCACTGGTTCAGGAAAAGCCT